AGCTTTGGTAAATAGCTTCAGGTCCGCATTTAGCAATGAGATTGGTCTATAACTCGAGCAGTTTGATGGATCTTTCCCGTCTTTGGGGATAACCGTTACTATCGCCGCCAGGGAGTCCGTGGGGAACCGCCCCCGTCCTGTAAGGCGTTCAGGCCTGCTAGAAGTCGGGGTAGTAGGGCGTCTCGGAAAGTTCTTAAATATGTGAGGGGGAGGCCGTCCGGCCCCGGGGCCCTGTGAGGTTTGGAGCGTTTCATGGCTGCGGCTAGTTCCTCTAAGGTTAGGGGCTGTAACGGACCGTTTTGCACAAAAAGGGAAAAAAACGTTTAGGCGATCGGCCCCCTTTCCAGAGATCCAGGCACAGCTACTGCAGAACACCAAAACTCACGAACTGGATACAAAATAGCACTCCAACTCCCGAACTGGAACCTCCCAAATAGCTGCTAGCAGACGAACAGGAAAAGCACTCCTGGCAATCAGTCTCTAACAGCATACAGTGAATCCCCCCAAAGAACGAGACAAGGCTCCGTGTTGAGGGTCAAGCAGTGGTCTGAGGTGCTGGCACACCCAGCCTGGTTTTTATTACAGTGTTTCAAATACAGGACCACCCACAGGGAGGGATAAAACAACCAATCATATCACAGTTACATCCCACATATTCCCTCCCCTTATCCTGAGAGGAAACTCAATTATACATACAGTTAAAACATACTTTCTACCCAACTTTCATAACTCCAAAACCATACATCACATTCACATAAAATTACATATGCACAATCAATCCATTCAGGGGAACAACATATTCAAAAATGGCACAAATCAGACAAGGGGTTCAAAAGTTAGTAAAAAGTCCTTTGTGACTAAATGAAGCATGGCTTTCTGGCCCAAACCAGTTTCAGAGTCTTCTATCCTGGAGATAAGTAATTGAATTATCTCCCAGGACAGACACAAGACTCCATTAAGCACATGGTTGCAAAAAGACACAAAGCACTTTAAAATACATAAAGTCACATTTATACATAAAACACATACATTTCACATATCCCCAGATAGCTCAGGTCTGAGCGCACATTATTAAGTGAATGGCGCTCAGACCACACAAATACAGTTTAATCACCATGGAGCCAAAGTCTTTACAGTCAGTTTCATACGAATGGGCTCCATGGGATTCCCATCTGGGGTATAACACATTCAAACAAATCTACTGAAACCCAGGCAGAAAAGCACGAATGAAGCTTTTCTGCAGGCAAAAATAAAGTCTTTTAAAAGGGGGCCATAGTCCAAAGGCAGCAGGCGAGCAACCAGGCTTCTCCAATGCAATGTGGCGAGATTGGTCTCGTCACATCTCTCCCCTTTTCCAAACAGACTAACAGGGTATCTGACCTCCTGCCGGTCAGTGCCCTTGTTAGTCCAGCAGCCCACCCACAAAACATAATCACCAGCACAGCCCACCCACAATAAATGGTTACTACACCTGGGTAAAGGAGAAGCTTGTCCATGTCCAGGTGCCTCACCACGGCTGTGCTGGGTACGGGTACGCTGACTGGGTGGGTTGCTGCGTGGGCAGAGACCTGCGGCACTTTGCCCTGTTGCCAGCGCTACTGGGAGGGTAGCCTGGTTGAAGCCTGGTTGTTGGAGGGGGAGACCGACTGTCTCCCCTTTAGATACAAAGTCCTGCTGCTGGAGACCGACTGTCTCCCCTTTAGATACACAGTCCTGCTGCTGGAGACTGACTGTCTCCCCTTTGGACACGCAGCTCTGTCGCTGGGGGGCAGAACCGACCGTCCCTACCCCCTGTGCTGGCAGTGTAGAGACTACGGTCCCATCTGCACCGTTGTGGGGCTTACTGTCTCCCCATGGTACATGAAGCTGCCGCTGGGGAGAGGGGGTAACAAGCTCCTCTCCCATATATACTTCCAGCCGCGGGGGAGGGAGACCGACTGTCTCTGCTCCCAATACAGAGTCCTGCTGCTGGGGAAAGGAGACTGGGCTCTCTATTCCCGGTAGGACACTCTGCCGCTGGGGAATGGAGACTGGGCTCCCTATTCCCTGCATATCACACTGCCGCTGGGGAATGGAGACTGGGCTCCCAATTCCCTGCAATTCATTCTGCTGCTGGGGCTCCCAATTCCCTGCAATTCATTCTGCTGCTGGGGGACAGGGGCAACTATCTCTGTCCCCTGTAACTCAGCCTGCCGCTGGGGAATGGAGACTGGGCTCCCAATTCCCTGCAATATTTCCCGCTGGGGAATGGAGCTCGGGCTCCCAATTCCCTGCAATATCTCCCGCTGGAGAATGGAGACTGGGCTCCCAATTCCCTGCAATTCATTCTGCTGCTGGGGGACAGGAGCAACTATCTCTGTCCCCTGTAACTCAGCCTGCCGCTGGGGAATGGAGCTCAGGCTCCCAATTCCCTGCAATATTTCCCGCTGGGGAATGGAGACTGGGCTCCCAATTCCCTGCAATTCACTCTGCCGCTGGGGAATGGAGACTGGGCTCCCAATTCCCTGTATATCACACTGCCGCTGGGGAATGGAGACTGAGCTCCCAATTCCCTGCATATCACACTGCCGCTGGGGAATGGAGACTGGGCTCCCAATTCCCTGCATATCACACTGCCGCTGGGGAATGGAGACTGGGCTCCCAATTCCCTGCAGTACCTGTCGCTGGAGTTCTTCCCAACGTGCCAGCTGACCTTCTCTTTCTGCCCGGTGTTGCAGATTCATGAACACTAGGTTCCTCATGGACTGCACGTGTTTCTCAGCTGGATTGGGTCCAAAGAAGTTCAGCCGCAACCACATCATACGGTCATACTCTCTCATAGAGTATCTGTACTCCACTGCTGGTTCCATCCTGGTGCTGTCAGGGTCGCTGTACTCAGACATGCGTTGCCCTCAAATTGTAAAATCCACGGAATGGTGTCTCCTGTAGCTGTCCTTCTGGCTGTAGGAACGATCCCGCCGCTTGCCACCAATTGTAACGGACCGTTTTGCACACAAGGGGTAAAAACCGTTTAGGCGATCGGCCCCCTTTCCAGAGATCCAGGCACAGCTACTGCAGAACACCAAAACTCACGAACTGGATACAAAATAGCACTCCAACTCCCGAACTGGAACCTCCCAAATAGCTGCTAGCAGACGAACAGGAAAAGCAGACGAACAGCTTACACTCCTGGCAATCAGTCTCTAACAGCATACAGTGAATCCCCCCAAGAACGAGACAAGGCTCCGTGTTGAGGGTCAAGCAGTGGTCTGAGGTGCTGGCACACCCAGCCTGGTTTTTATTACAGTGTTTCAAATACAGGACCACCCACAGGGAGGGATAAAACAACCAATCATATCACAGTTACATCCCACATATTCCCTCCCCTTATCCTGAGAGGAAACTCAATTATACAAACAGTTAAAACATACTTTCTACCCAACTTTCATAACTCCAAAACCATACATCACATTCACATAAAATTACATATTCTCAATCAATCCATTCAGGGGAACAACATATTCAAAAATGGCACAAATCAGACAAGGGGTTCAACAGTTAGTAAAAAGTCCTTTGTGACTAAATGAAGCATGGCTTTCTGGCCCAAACCAGTTTCAGAGTCTTCTATCCTGGAGATAAGTAATTGAATTATCTCCCAGGACAGACACAAGACTCCATTAAGCACATGGTTGCAAAAAGACACAAAGCACTTTAAAATACATAAAGTCACATTTATACATAAAACACAGACATTTCACATATCCCCAGATAGCTCAGGTCTGAGCGCACATTATTAAGTGAATGGCGCTCGGACCACACAAATACAGTTTAATCACCATGGAGCCAAAGTCTTTACAGTCAGTTTCATATGAATGGGCTCCATGGGATTCCCATCTGGGGTATAACACATTCAAACAAATCTACTGAAACCCAGGCAGAAAAGCACGAATACAGCTTTTCTGCAGTCAAAAATAAAGTCTTTTAAAAGGGGGCCATAGTCCAAAGGCAGCAGGCGAGCAACCAGGCTTCTCCAATGCAATGTGGCGAGATTGGTCTCGTCACAGGGGCGCATCAATTTCCTCAGCGAGCTCCGGAGTGAGTTTGCGAGTCACATGTCGCGTTAGGTAGTCTGTGACCTTCCCACGGTGGTTTTGGGCTTCTGTCCCCTGAGCTGGCCTAGCTTGGTTGTATAGGTCCCTATAGTAGGCCCTAAATGCTGACACAATGCCCTCTGGTAGTCTGGTGTGCTGTCCGTGTCCGGTGCGTATCTTGTGAATATGTTGGGCTCTACGCTTCTCTCGGAGCACCTGTGCCAGGAGTCGACCGCACTTATTCGAGTGCTCATAGAAGTGCCTAGCTGATTTCCGCATAGTATGTAGTAATCCCTGGGATAAGTGTGCTTTGAGTGCCCTTCGTGTAAGTCGTAGGTATGTGTCGTCATCTAGGCTATGCTTATGTGTATTCTCTAGGTCTGCAATTCGTGTCGTGAGCCCTGTCTTTCTTGCGTTGCGAGCTGATAGATATAAAGTGACCCCTAATGACGCATTTGTGGGCTTCCCACAGCATCAGAGGGGGCATGTCGGGTGTGTCATTAGTGTCAAAGTATTGCGTTAGCGTCTGTAGTGTCTTGGTGCGTATCTCGAGCTCTGTTAACATGGTTTCATTAAGCTTCCATTGGCGTTCGGTCGGTTTAAATAAAGGTGAGCTCATTACCACCGTGTTTGGGGCATGGTCGGACTGGTTGATAATCCCTATGGAAGCATCTCGGAGAAGCGCAAGGCTCTCCTGGGGCATGAAGATGTAGTCTATCCTACTATATTGCCTATATACTGACGAGTAATAGGAGAAATCTCTTTCGTCCGGGTGGGCTACCCGCCAACAGTCGACCAACCCCATGCCAGTCAGTGCTCGTCGCATTGCACGTAAGCCGTGCTCTGGGACAGTGCTGGTCCCTCTGGTGGTGTCCACCCGGAGGTCCAGGGGAGCGTTAAGATCCCCTGCCAATATCAGCAGGCCGGCCCTGAATTTTTCTAGTTTGGCCAGTGTTTTGGTAAAGAATTTATGCTGTCCGCGGTTAGGGCTATAAATGCTTGCGAAAGTGTAGGTGTGGTGTGCGATGGTGCCCTTCAAGAAGATGAACCTCCCCTCAGGGTCCGTCATGGTGTCTATGTGGTGGAACGGGACTATGCGGGAGAACAGAATCGCCACTCCCGTTTTCTTAGACTCTGGGTGATTGGCGTAGTACCCCTGTGGAAAGCGTCTATTCTCAATCTTCGGAGAGTCCTGACCCCTAAAGTGCGTCTCCTGCAAGAGCGCCAGGGACACCTTTTCCGCCCATAACTGCCTCAAAAGTTGGGACCGCTTCTCCGGGGTATTTAGGCCCCTCACGTTATTAGACCACACTTTGAGTTGTGCGGGGGCGAGACTCCCCCCGGCCCCTCGGGGTGAACAGCCCCCGGCCGGCTCTGTCTGGGAAGGCATTGTGTAATTGACTGTACGTGGGCGCGGGGGGAAAAGGGGAGGGCAGGGGAGAGATGCAGAGAGAGAAAGGAATGGGAAGGTGGGAGAAGAGAGGGGGAAAAGAGAAGGAAAAAAACAAAAACAAAAAAAAAAAACGGTTTGATAGCAACAGTGAACCTCGGTCGGATAGAGTTGTTCGGCAGCTACTCGACTGTAGTCCTACCGAACTCCGACTAGTTTGTACACCACGGGTCAGTTGCGTGGGGTGTGAGCAAGGTCGCCTGCGGCGCAGAACAACCTAGTGTGTGTGTCTGGTCCGAGTCCGTCTCCCGGAGCTCCCAACCCGCCAGTCCAAGTGTCGAGTTGTTCCCGTCTCGTGGCCTATCCGTGTATGGTGAGTCGGTCTTCACGGGTTGCGCCCGTGTTTCCTTTCCTCCCTGCACCTAGCCCTCATGATGCGTGTGCGGTCTCCGTCTAGTTTCAGTTGTTCACCGTCAGCGTTCTACCCCTTGTACCACAGGGAGAGCATATGGACCGTCCTACCCCCTCAACCCCCCCATCATCCAGATTCTCCGTCCTACCCCCTACCGCCCTGCCAGATTATCCGTCTCCCCCCCCTCCGAGGACACTCGAGCCTTCTGGCCCTTCTTAGACTTTAGTGGTGCCTCTTGTAAGTAATGCTGATTGGTTCCTGTGCCCTGTTTCGGTCTATGCACGGGTTCCTTCGTGCGCCCCCAGGTGCCCGGTCGTCCCCCCTCTCTACCCTTCTCGGCCCTGCAGGGGTCAGGACGCGGACCTTTTGGCCCTCGGGCCCGGGGGGGTGTGACGGGTGCGCTTCCAGCCCCCCCCCGGGCACCGCCATGGCTCCCTGGCCCCAATGAGAAACCCCTTAGGAGACCCACCCCACCTCCCCCCAGGCCCCGCTCCCACTCCAGGTCTTGACATGCTGTTAATAGATCCAATAGATCGGGTGCTCCTCCCGAACCCGCTCTGCCCCTACTGAGGCCGTGTGAAGTGGTGGTGGCCAATTCCCTTCTATGCTTCCACTTTGCTACCCCCACATTTCCCGTCCCCCACCCAAGTGCTGAGTTCCCGGGGGTACGGGTCTTATAGTACACATAGGGGATTCCCAGGCCCGGGGAAAAGAACGGTACATACCCCGGATGCTCAGTTTCAAGTCCTCAGTTAATCCATGTGTGCCTACGGGCAGGTGTGCCCCTTACCCGCGGGGAAGGACGTGGGGGTCTCGGGGTTCCCGGTCCGCGCAAGAACCCCCCCAAGGGCGCACTCTCGGGTGCTTACAGACTTCCTACTCCTCCGCGGTGCTGGGCCCGCTTCGGTGTGTCGAGGAGCTCCGCAGGGCACCATCCGTCAGGTGTTCAGCTGGAACTGTAGGGCCCGTGGGCCTGGTCGGCGGGTGATCAAGGATCCAGTTAGGGACGGGAATCTCAGGGAGGCCCGCTGCTCGTAGAAATCTAGGCACATCATTAGGCCAGCGGACTGCCAGCCAGCGATTCTCAATTCTTGCCTGCAGGCTGAACGGGAATCCCCATTTGTAAGGAATCCGCTTCTGCTGTAGGATGCCTGTGATGGGCTTCAGCGCTCGCCTGGCATCGAGGGTGAGGGGAGACAGGTCCTGGTATAGGGATACATGCGAGTCCATGTAGGTGATGGTGCGCAGTGCCCTGGCCGCTCTCATGATACTTTCTTTCAGTTGGAAGGATTGAAAACAGCACACCAAGTCCCTGGGGAGGCCATCTCTCCTTGGTGGTCGAAGCGCTCGGTGGGCACGCTCTAATCCGAAATCCGGTGGAGCTTCTTCCCCTAGTAGTTGTGTGAACAGGCCTTCCAGGACCTCTCTTGGGGTCTCTCCTTCTGACTCTGGCAGGCCTCTGACGCGGATATTATTGCGCCGTCCGCGGTTCTCAAGGTCCTCCACCTGGCGTCGGAGTTCCAGGAGGAGGTTGCCCTGCCTCGTGGTAGCCAGATCTGTGGCCCGTTGGGATTGTTCTGACTACAGCTGTTGGACCTCTAGGTCTCCCACCCGGTGTTCTAGGGCGGAGAGGTCGCGCCGAACCGCAGCCACCTCCTCCCGGATAGCCGCGCGGAGTTCTGCCACCAGCTCTTTCTTATCTTGCCTGGAAAACATGTTTGCCGAGATTGCCGCGAGTTCAGCTGACATCTGAGTGAGGGCGTCTCTCCGCGGGGAGTCCTACGTGGAGCTCGATCTGCTCAGTGTTCCCGGCGATCCGGGCGCCATTTTGTCTGGGCCTCGTGTGCCGGCCATACATTGTGGGGTGGACAGGTACTCGTCCATCGGTCCCGATTGCTGCGACATGGCGGTAAGTTGCGGGCCCGGGGCAGTCCCCTTCCTCGGTTTACCCATTCGGACGGGAGTGGTAACGCTTTTAACACGGGCTATGGCAGGGTTGGGGCCCGGGAGCTCTCACTGCCTGCGTCCTACTCCATCGGCAGCCCAGCCACACCCCCAGCCTGGCTATTTTATCTATAATTTAAAATGACACTATAGTCACCAGAACTACTACAGCTTATTGAATTTGTTCTGGTGAGTAGAATCATTACCTTCAGGCATTTGCTGTAAACACTGTCTTTTCAGAGAAAATGCAGTGTTTACATTACAACCTAGCGATAACTTCACTGTCCACTCCTCAGATAGTTACTAGAGGTGGTTCCTGGGGCATTGTTGCACAGTGTGACTAACATTCAGTGTCTCCACCCTCTGCACGCAGACACTGAACCTTCCTCATAGAGATGCATTGATTCAATGTATCTCTATGAGGAGATGCTGATTGGCCAGGGCTGTGTTTGGCTTGACAGTCTCAGCCAATCCTAGGGGAAAGTATTGGGATTGGCTGAGATCACCACTATTGATGTCAGCCAAGAAGACAGATCAGGGACAGAGCCAGCAGCTGCAGACTTGAATAGAAGTAAGATGATATGCTGTATTTAGGGGGGCAAGGGTCGGGGGCCAGGGAGCTAGAGAGTGATTTTAACACTACAGGGTCAGGAATATAGGTTTGTGTTCCTAACCCTATAGTGTTACTTTAAATTTATCTTTGAATTCCTTATGAATTCTTGATAATTCACAATTCACGGAATAACCCTTTCTGTCTTAACTGTTAGCCCAGTCTATTTATGGACAGTTTTATTAGTATATGGATGCACTACAAGGATGTTAAATGAACACTCCTTACACTATAACCACTATAGTTTGCTGTAGTGGTTATGGTGCCTGGTGTGCCCTAGCGGCCCTAATGTAAGTAGTCAAACCATTTGCTTAGGGCTCTCCAGTCACTGGCCCCTGGCTCTCTTCTTCCTAAATGAAGAGGTGAATGCTCCTGTTAGCTCTCCGGTGCTAAGTTCTAATGTACAGGGCCAGATCGCTGGCTGAGAGTGTGAGCTGATTGCTCTCAGCCAATGAGCTAATCCCTGCACTGCTAAACTCGGCACCCAGCACACATTAGCAAACAGTGCGAGTTCTAGAACACTCCTGGCACCATAACAACTACACTGCACTATTGGGGTTATGGTGCTGTGGGTGATCCTTACATTTTCGATATTTGGTCTATTACGTCTATATTTCCAGTTATTGCAGCAGAAATTGAATTACAAAATAATGACCCAATTTTCTTTGAGCACGTGAGGCTCTCTATGTATAGATGCAGTATGTTTTGTTTCAGTGTTAAGTTGTTTGTTTTTAATGTAACACATTTGATTTCTTGCCACGTCCCAGGATTTCTAATATAAGGATTAGTTATCCCCAGGGGCCGCCATCAGGGGGTGACAACCATGACGATTTTCACTGGCCCGGCGGTCCTGAGGGAGCCCGGACTGTACTGCTAATGCTCCGGGCCCCCAGCCCTTCAATGAAGCACAGTGGACCAACACCAGCAGATGACATGGCTCCCCAAATCAACACAGGCAGTGGAAACTTCACACTGGACTTCAAGCATCTTGCAGTGTGTGCCTCTCCATTCTTCCTGCAGACTCTGGGTCCTTGGTTTCCAAATGAGATGCAAAAGTTGCTCTCATCAGAAAAGAGGACTTTGGACCACTGAGCAACAGACCTGTTATTCTTTAGCCCAGGTAAGACGCTTCTGACGTTGTTTGTTGTTCAGGAGCGGCTTGACAAGAGGAATACGACATCTGAAGACCATGTCCAGGATCCGTCTGTGTGTGGTGGCTCTTGATGCACTGACTCCAGCCTCAGTCCACTCCTTGTGAAAGTCCCCAACACTTTTGAATGGCCTTTTCCTGACAATCCTCTCCAGGCTGCAGTCATCCCTGCTGCTTGTGCACCTTTTTCTTCCACACTTTTTCCTTCCACATAACTTTCTATTAATGTGCTTTGATACAGCACTTTGGGAACATCCAGCTTCCTTTGCAATTACCTTTTGAGGCTTTCCCTCCTTATGGAGGGTGTCAATGATGGTTTTCTGCACAACGGTCAGGTCAGCAGTCTCCCCATGATTGCGATTCCTACTGAACTAAACTGAGAGACCATTTAAAGGCTCAGAAACCCTTTGCAGGTGTTATGGCTGACTTAGCTGATTAGAGTGGGACACTGTGAGCCTAGAATATTGCACCTTTTCACAATATTCTATTTTACTGAGATTGTGGATTTGGGGTTTTCATGAGCTGTAAGCCATAATCATCGCACTTATGACAAATAACGGCTTGAACTATCTTGCTTTGCATGTAATGCGTCTATCTCATATATTAGTTTCCCCTTTTACGTTGCATTACTGAAATAAATGAACTTTTGCACGATATTCTAATTTTT